GCGGGAAGTGGCAGCTGCTGCGCTCGCTCCCAACTCGGCGGGGGTTAAAGGCGACCGAATGAGGCCGAGCGAAGCGCGCCAGGCTATTTTTACTTGCTTCCCCCGCCGCTCCGTGCCCCCCCTGCTCCGCAGTTGCACATGCCAGCTCTGCTCAAGGCATCAATGAAAACAGCGGTAGAGGCGGCCGAGCTCCTGCTAGCAGAAAAGCACGCGGCGCAGGGCGCTCAGGCGGCAGGCGGCAGGCGGGGGAGCAGACCCAGCTGGGACTCCTTGGAGGGGAACGAGTTGGGTGGGGGTGGGGCTCAGCCCTCAGCAAAACGGGTGATGCCAGACTTGGTCAAATGTGCTCAGCAGAGGCGCCTGGGCAGTGACCATCATTGCGTTCCCTCCAGGAACCGAGCGTGTGGGACTCAGGACTAGAGCAAGTCTCGGAGATGGGGCACTGTGGGCTTGCCTGCTGTGGGAGATAAAAGCAAGGAGAGCCTGTGTGTGTGTGTAAGCGTGCATGTGCAGGGTGTGTGTGTGCAAGCGTGCATGTGCGGGGTGTGTGTGTGTGTGTGTGTGATAATTGGTCCTGTTCCTCCTGGTCCTTTATCCCAGGAATAGTTAGGTTAGGAACCAGGGTGACATGTGAGGACCACCCGGTGGGCCCTCCCTCAAGGAACTCAGCCCAGTAGGCCTTCCTGTGAGCCCGTGGCTAATCCGCAACACCTTCTCACTTTGGTTGTTGGTGTTTGCAAACTCTTCTTCTCATTTCATCCTTGCAATAGTCCTGTGAGAGAGGCAAAGTTAGCCTTCGTTTCTTCCTCCCATTTTATGGCGGAGGACACTGAGCTGGGGTCAAGAGAGTTCTGAAAGTCATTTGGTGGGTGCAGTCCGCCGCGGAGCCCCGATCCCCACACTTCTGAAGCGCCACTCTTTGCCCCGTTCTTGCCATGTCTAAAAAGATGCCGTGTGTGAGCGCACGTGGACACAGAGTGGGAGGGAGGGGTACTTTGGAAGGGACAGATGCAGGGCTAGGGCAGGCAGGACAGGAGGAGGTGCTCCTTGCCAGGTAGAGATAGGGAAAGCCTCCCAGCTGTGGTCAGGAAGGAGAACGGGAGGCAGGAGGTGATGTATAGGGAGCCACAGTCTCCCTCCATGGAGGGGGCACAGAGACTGTGTCCAGCTTGGAACACCAAGAGCACAGACTTGGGGGCACGGTGCATGCTGAGGGGCCCTGGGTGTACTCGAACCATGCTGACCTCATCCCTTTGCCTGTTACCTTCAGCGGATTCTCCCTGTGGTGCAGGGTAGGTGTAGGGGCCCAGGCAATGTCAGGATAGCCCCTCAGGTGGTGCATGTGGCAGCATTCCGTGGGCGCTTTCCCTTGCCCTCTGCGGTGTCTTTCCCTGGCTCTCTGCGGTGTGCTTTTCTTCCTCAGCTAAGGGCCTTGCCATCCCCTGCCAGCCTCCGCTCCTTCTCCTGTCCTCACCAGGTCTCATCAGAACCCTCTGAAATGCATGCAAAGCTTCTGGCCTCGCCCTTGTTTCCAGCCTGCTGCCAGCACCCAAGGCAGGCCATGTCACCTGTGCCCACACAGAAGCATCTCTGAGCCATCGGTCTCTCAGCCAGCCTATCCTCACTCTCTGCTGGCTTTTGGGAGCACAAACCTGCTCGCGATCAGACGTCTCTTTAAAAGCTGAGGGTGGAGACCAGCCAGTGGCGGGGTGG